ATAAAGTGGGTAGACTTTCCAATTTTATGATTGTATCTTTTGCTGTACAGAAGCTTTTGAGTTTCATGTCGTCCCATGTGTTCATTTTCTCCTATGTTTCTGTTGCCTTAGGAGATGTGTCAGTGAAAATTCTGCTGTGTATGATGTCTGATATTTTGTAACTGTCATTATTCACAGATGACATGATACTATATGTAGAAAACCCCAAAGACTCCATTAAAAATTTACTAGACTTAATAAATGAATTTGGCAAAGTAGCAGGATACAAAATTAACGTCAAGAAATCAATGGCATTCTTATACACCAATAATGAACTCATAGAAAGAGAAACTAAGAAAACAATCCCGTTTACCATTGCAGCAAAAAAAATTAAGATACCTAGGAAAAAACTTAACCAAAGTACTAAAGCACCTATTCGCAGAAAAATACAGGTCATTGAAAAAAGAAATAGAGGAAGATGTAAAAAAAGTGGAAGCACATACCTTGTTCATGGATTGGAAGAATTCACATCATTAAAATGTCCATACTACACAAAGCAATCTAGAGATACAATACAATCCTCATAAAAATACCAACAACATATTTCACAGAACTACAACAAATACTTCAAAAGTTCATATGGAATCAAAAAAGACCTCAAATAGCCACAGCAATCTTGAAAAAGAACAAAGTAGGAGGGATCACATTACCAGATTTCAGGTTATACTACAAAGCCACTGTAATCAAAACAGCCTGGTACTGGAACAAGAACAGGCATATAGACCAGTGGAACAGAACAGAGAACCCAGAAATGGACCCAAGGCAATATGCTCAATTAATATTTGACAAAGGTGGCAAGAGCATACCGAGGAGTAAGATAGCCTCTTTAATAAATGGTGTTGGGAAAATGGGACAGCTACATGCAAAAAAATGAAATGAGACCATCAACTTACACCATACACAAGAATAAACTGATAATGGATAAAAGACTGAAATGTGACTCATGAATTCTTAAAAATTTTAGAAGAAACTGTAGGCAACAAAATTTCAGACATCATACACAGCAGAATTTTTACTGATACTTCACCTATGGCAACAAAAACAAAAGAGAAAATGGATACATGGGACTACATCATACTCAAACGATTCTGTACAGCAAAACATACAATCATGAAAATGGAAAGGCAAACCACTGTACGGAAGAACATAATCGCCAATAATTTATCAGATAACTGGTTAATTTCCAAAATATATAGAGTGCTCATACAACTCTACAAAAGACGACAAACAACCCAATTAAAAAATGGGCAGAGGAACTAAATAGACACCTCTCCAAACAGGACATACAAATGGCTAAGGGACATATAAAGAAATGCTCAAAATCACTAATCATCAGGTAGATGCAAATTAAAAGAACAATGAAGGATCACCTCACACCTGTCAGAATTACCACCATCAACAAATCATCCAACAAGTGTTGGCGTGGGTGTGGAGAAAGTGGGACTCTAGTACACTGCTGGTGGGAATGCAGACTGGTGCAGCCACTATGGAAAACAATAGGGTGTTACCTCCAAAAATGAAAAATTGAACTTCCATTTTACCCAGTGATCCCACTTGTAGGAATATACCCTAAGAAGCCTGAAACACCAATCTGAAAGAATATATGTAGCCCCATGTTTGTAGCAGCATTATTTACAATAGGTAAGATCTAGAAACAGCCCAAATGTCCATCAGTAGACGAATGGATAAAAAAGCTGTTGTAGAACCGAAAAATGGCGGCGGAGTGAACGGAGCTACACAGACCGTCTCCCAGAACCAAACTGGAATTTCAACTATAACACAGACAAATTGACGGGAAAAACCAACAGAAAAGCAGCTTGGGAGGACCATACAATGAAGGACACTGACTCCATCCCAGTAGGCTTGCGAAGGCGTGAGACTGGGCTGGGAGCCCACGGCCGGCAGCTCGGCAGCGGCCTTAGCTGGGAGCAGCGCCCTCGGGTCACACTCCCAGGCGGCTCCACAGCGCAGCCGGGACAGAGGCTGAAACAGCCACAGTCACTCACCTTGGGCTCCGGCAGAGGGAGGGCAGACTGAACTGGAACTGTGTGGGGACACTCGGGATCTGGAGGGCGCTCAGAGCTTTGGCTGAGTGCAGCCACTCAGGACGGTGGCCATATTGCTCCTTCCCAGGGCTCTGAGGAGAGGCAGCAGCCCCTCCATTGGAGATCCAACCACACCCTGTGGGCCATTGAAGTGCTCACTAACAACCAGCATCTGCCCCACCCTCCTGAAAGCCCCTTGGCTGAGCACCAGAGGGAGTTTTTCAATCAACTGACAACCCAAAACTCATCAATTAACCTAGACTGCTAGCCTCCAGGCAAAAAGCTAGAGGATAACAGTACGTTTCCTGGGCTGGCAACTTTAACCAGGAAAGTAAGACTTGACAGTGGTGTTCAAGGTGGGTCCTCCCTTGCTCATCTAAACACAGGAGAGGGAGCCACAAACAGCAGAACACCAACACCCACAGGGAGAACTTGACAGGCTCCAAAGCCCACAGTGATAGCCAAAATGGTGAAACACAGAAACAGAAGCCAAATGAAAGAGCAAGACACCTCCACCGAAGATGAGATCAATGTGGAGCAATTAGGCATGTTAACAGAGCTAGAATTCAGAGCCATGATCTTGAGGAAGCTGAACAGCATGAGTAAGGATATAGAGACACTGAAAATAAGCCAATTGGAAAATAAACCAACAAGAAGAGATAAAAAATGACATATCAGAAATGAAAAACACATTGGAAGGTTTAAAAAGCAGAGTAGGGGAAGCTGAGGACCGGATCAGTGAATTAGAAGACAGGCTAGAAAAAATCAAACAATCAGAAAAACAAAAGGAAAAAAACTATTAAAAAACAGGAAGACAGCTTAAGAGAACTGTGGGACAACTGGAAATGTAATAATATTCGCAACATAGGAGTCCCTGAAGAAGAAGAAAATGAGCAAGGGATAGAGAATATATTCAAAAAAATAGTGAGAGAAAACTTCCCTAAGTTGGTGAAGGAAGAAGGCATTCAAGTTCAAGAAGCACAGAGAGTCCCAAGTAAGAAGAACCCAAACAGGCCCACACCAAGACACATAATAATTAAAATGCCACAAATTAAAGACAAAGAGAGAATCCTAAAAGCAGCAAGAGATAAGCAACAGGTTACCTACAAAGGGAACCGCATAAGGCTCTCAGCTGACTTCTCACAAGAAACACTACAGGCCAGAAGAGAATGGCATGAAGTAATCAAGGTCATGAAAAACAAGAATCTGAATCCAAGACTACTCTTCCCAGCAAGGCTATCATTCAAAATAGAAGATCAAATAAAGAGCTTCCCAGACAAAAAAAGGCTAAGGGAATACATTAGCACCAAACCAGCACTGCAAGAAATGTTAAAAGGACTGCTATAATTAGCAGGAGAAATGGGAAGAAAAATAGAACCACACTAAACAAAAATGGCAATAAATAAGTACATATCAATAATCACCTTAAACGTAAATGGATTGAATGCTCCCATAAAGAGACACAGAGTAGCTGATTGGATAAGAAAGCATGACTCATCTATATGTTGTTTACAAGAGACCCACCTCTCAACAAAAAGACTCACATCAGAGAGATGCAAATTAAAACAACAATGAGGTATCACCTCACACCTGTCAGAATGGCCGCCATCAACAAATCATCAAACAACAAGTGTTGGCGAGGGTGTGGAGAAAAGGGGACTCTAATACACTGCTGGTGGGAATGCAGACTGGTGCAGCCACTATGGAAAACAATATGGTGCTACCTCAAAAAATTAAAAATTGAACTTCCATTTGACCCAGTGATCCCACTGCTGGGAATATACCCTAAGAAGCCTGAAACACCAATCAGGAAGAATATATGTACCCCCATGTTCATAGCAGCACTATTTACAATAGCTAAGATCTGGAAACAGCCCAAGTGTCCACCAGTGGACGAATGGATAAAAAAGCTGTGGTACATATACACAATGGAGTACTATGCAGCGGTAAGAAAGAAAGATCTCTTATCCTTTGAGACGACATGGAGGGACCTGGAAAGTAGTATCCTAAGTGAAAGAAGCCAAGCAGAAAAAGACAAATACCACATTATCTCACTTATATACGGAATATAATGAACATAACAGTCTGAGGAATACAGTAGACCCAGACACATGGAAGTAGGGCACAGACTGACATCCCTCAGAAGAGGGGATGGGGGGTGAGGGGGTGGGAAGAGATAAACCACAGAACTTATATGCATGTATGCATGACCAATGGACATGGACAACTAAGCCGGGGACGGGGCGGAGGTGGAGTGGGGTGGGGGGTGCCAATGGGGTAAAAAGGTAAAATATCTGTAACAAAAAAATAAATAAAAATTCATAAAAAAATAAAATAAAATAAATAGAAGTAATTAATTAAAAAAAAAAAGCTGTTGTACATATACACAATGGAGTACTATGCAGCTGTAAGAAAGAAAGATCTCTTGTCCTTTGCGAGGACATCCAGAGACCTAGAAAGTATTATCCTAAGCAAAACAAGCCAAACAGAGAAAGGCAAGTATCTTATGATTTCACTTATTTTTGGAATATAATGAACATAACAGTCTGAGGAATGGGGTAGTCACAGAGACGTGGAAGTGGGGTACAGACTGACAATCCCCAGAACAGGGGTTGGTGGGGGAGAGATAAACCACAGAACTTACATGCATGTGTACATGAACAATGGACATGGACAACAAACCTTGGGACAGGTTGATGAGGGAGGGTGAGCGGGTAATCAGTGATGGAAAAGGAGAAACATCTGTAACTAAAATACATAAATTTATTAAATAAATAAATAAATAAAAATCTGATTCAAGGTTATTTCATCAACTGATAACTTTGGAGAGACTATTCACTATGGCAGGTAGAGTATTGTTACATGAAATATTTTTTATTAATTTTACAACCTTTTTGATAGAGTGTTGTTGTTTTTTTAAATATGGAACGGTTCACAAATTTGCATGTCATCCTTGCACATGGACCATACTAATCTTCTCTGTATTGTTCCAATTTTAGTATATGTGCTGCTGAAGCGAGCACTTTGATAGAGTCTTCTTGATAAATGAATGAAACCTTTCCTGGAGCTCTTAGATGAATTTGTTCCATTGAAATTCTGGAAAAATTGGATCTCTCTTCATAGCTGAAACTTAGATTTGTTCAGTGGCCACAAAAGAAATACCAGTTACACTTTCTAAACAAATGATGCTTTGACTGTGAGTAGTAAAAAGGTAGAAATACAGTTGGTGAGATTTGATCAATAAGAGGTGAAACTTACTTCTTTTTCTTGGGTGAAATCAGAACTTTTCTTTCATTTTCACTCTCGTTGACAGTTATGTAACAATAGACCCTTACCTCTGCTACTGAAAAACATTATTTCTCCCATATGTTTCATTAAATTCTTGAGGGGGAAAAGCATTTTGATAATAACAAAAATAATTACAATCAATTCTGTGAAGATTTCTTTTTTTTTATTTTTATTTTAGATCACATTTATTAATATTCAAATATGTTAATGTGCCTCTAATACCTGATTCAAAGTAGGTCCTCTTAAATGTTTTTCCCCTCTCTTTTTTATTTTATTTATTTATTTTTTTTTAAATTTAAATAATTAATTTATTTTTGTTACAGATGTTTTTCCTTTTCCCCCCACTGATTCCTCCCTCCCCCTTCTTCCCCACCCTGTCACCAGCTTTTTGTTGTCCATGTCCACTGTTCATGCACACATGCATACAAATTCTGTGGTTTATCTCTCCCCCACCATGCCGTCTTCTGGGGATTGTCAGTCTGTACCCCACTTCCACATCTCTGGGACTACCCCATTCCTCAGACTGTTTTGCTCATCATATTCCACCAATAAGTGAGATCATATGATACTTGTCTTTCTCTGATTGGCTTGTTTCACTTAGGATGATACTTTACAGGTCCTTCCATGTATTCTCAAAGGATAAGAAACCTTTCTTTCTTACAGCTGCACAGTACTCCATTATGTATATGTACTACAGCTTTTTCTTTATTTTTAATTAATTTATTTTTGTTACAGATGTTTCTCCTTTTTCCCCAATTGATTCCCCCCTTCCCCTCCCTTCCCACCCTGTCCCCACCTTTGTTGTCCATGTCCATTGTTCATACATTCATGCATGTAAGTTCTATGGTTTATCTCTACCCCCACCCCCTCTTCAGGGGATTGTCAGTTTATACCCCCTTTTCTGTGGAGATTTCTTATGAAAGCTTAGAAATACACAGCCAAGCTGTCCACAGAATCCCTGCAGGCTCATGCGTTATGTGTGAACACTGCCAATTCTATTACAACTATTAAAAAAAGGAAAATAAGAAGATGCAGAAAACTCTTTTCCAGTATTTAAACTCTGAGAAACAATCATCTTTAATGTTGATTTAGAAAATTACTTAGATTTACCATTTTTGTACAAGTGAAAGCCTTTTAATGCTAACAACCTACACTGTATATACCTCAGTTTCCTTGCATGACCTTCTAGGTTTCACTTCTGCTGTTATGACTCTAAGGGTTTTAATTTGTGGCTTCCACATAACCACTCTGAGATGATGCCAGAACTAGTAATGCTATCAGGTAAGCCAAGATGGCCAGTCTAATGGGGTTGGCATTTAGAAGTTGATTCATATCTTTGTATTAGTTTGAGTCACATAAATAGTAAAACAATTAGTTGTTTATGTCAAATGAGGAAAAAAACTAACGTATTTTGTCTTTTATGTTGAGTTTCTAGAAATCCATAGAAATTAACCAGTATCTTTTCAATAAGATTGTTCCTAGGAGCCAAGGCTGAAAAAGCAATACTAGATCGAGTTTCCCACCTTTCCAACTCTTTCTACCTCCATCTTCTGACTCTCTATGCCTGCTTGATATATCATATGAATAAAAAGGGCTGAGAGTTAATGAGATAATGAGAGTTTGGGAGAAGAGAATTCAGGATTATTTAAAAATAAAAGACCCTCAAAACACCTTTTAGTGATTTTTTTTTAGAGAGAGAGAGAGAGATATTGATGTGAGAGAGAAACATCAAATGGCAGCCTCCTGCATGCCCCCCACTGGAGATGGAGCCCACAACCTGGGCATGTGCCCTGATGGGGAATCAAACTGGGACCTCTCAGTCCATGGGACAACACTCAGTCCGCTGAGCCACACTGGCTAGGCTAAAAATATTTTTAATCAGCAACTAGATTATATGTAAATGTTTATTATGTATCAAACTTCTGAATTAGTCTTAAAAGTATCTTGCTATAGAGAAAGTATAGGAATTGCCTATATCATCATATATAATATAATTACTGAGCAATACATTTTTAAAAATATTCAATTTTTTTTAATTACACTGTTTTAATACCTTGAGTAGATCAAACTACCCCAACCTTGCAATAGCAAGAGTGACCTCCCTAGAAGTTTCCTTTCATGTGATTTCAATGCATTATATATGCTAGATATAAAAAAGGAGAAAAGGTCTTTGGAGAATAAAACACTATTTTAGATGTCAATATGAGCCATTTTTTGTTAGTTATCCATGTCCTCTACTCACACTATCTTTGAACAACTGTTCTGAGAAACCAGAAATTTGTTGCTCTGTCACCTTGTTAATTGTCCAAACCAAGTATGTGGAACTCTCTTTCCCATTCATGTCTTCTCTCTCCCATTTACTTTTCTTTTCCCTCTAAAGTCTCATTATCCCATAGATCTTCCTCCCTCAGGCCCTTACTCTCAAACAGGCAGCATACAACAAATACAGAAACCTGATTTTAATAGATACTTATGGGTTTGATAGGCCAGTCAACTGAATGCATTTTAACATTGCTGAAGAACCAGCTCCTCTTTCTGTTCTTAAGAAAATGTTCACAAAGTACAGGTTCCCTTTAGAAAGTTACTCCAATTTATTCCCTCCATCTAAAACCTGCCAACAAAAACTAAGCATCCTCAAAATATTTCTGAGTATAGGCAAACATTTATTGGCCCAGAAAGGAAAATTTATATCCAAATGTGACTGCAGCACCATGATTGATTCAAATTCTGTCTCATTAATCTATAGATTAAGTGAGCACATTCACTTCCTGCATAATCCTCCAGCCCATTCTTCAAACCAAAATGAGATTGTTGAGACTTCTGGTCAAGATGGCAGCATAAGTAAACACGGTACTTGCTTCCTCCCACAATCACATCAAAATTACAAGTAAACGAAAAACAACTATAATTCAGAATCACCTGAAATTGAGATGAATGGAAGTCCTATTACTAGGAAATTAAAGAAGAAGCCACATCGAGACTCATAGAAGGGACAGTGGGTGGACGGGCTGGTCCCACACCCAGATGTGGTAAATAAAAATCAGGAGAGCTATCTCAACTGTGAAGGTCCTTTCTGAGGAGTGAGGGGTTCCTGTTCCACACCAGGGGTCAGTTAACTAGCGGTATTGGACTTTCTGAAGCCACATGCTATTTGTTTGATAGAATTTAGGATAATCTGAAGCAAAAGCCAAGATAAGCCAATCTTATGGTAAAGCCACTGAAAACATCTCAGGGTTCCAGTACCAGGAAGAGAAGTCCCCATAACTTCTGGCTGTAAAAACAGGCAAGAATTGAGGATGAGGGAGATTGAGACTTCTGGAGTCCTAGGCAGTTCTACTTTAAGAGCCTGCACACAGACATACACGGACCAGCTCCCTCCAGACTCCAGCCTAGGGGAGGCAGCTTAAAAGGCCCCTGAGATACACAGGGAAGAACTGAGTTGTTTGATATTGGGGTGAGAGCTGGAGAGACAGCTTCCTCCCAGAAAGGCATGCTGGTTGAGGCCATTGTTTCTTTGGTGAGCCCTTCCCCCACAGGGGAGTCAGATTTGCACAGTATCTGGGACTCCAGCAACCTAGTTCACACTGTTTGCCCCATCCTGGTGATTCCCTGAGGCCCTGCCCCACCCAACTTTTGGGCCCACCCAAGTTGTTTCCAGTGGCTTTACCATAGGATTGGCCTATCTTGGCTCTTGCTTCAGAGTTTCCTAAATTCTCTCAAATGAATAGCATGTGGCTTCAGTGAGTAACATACCTCTAGTTAACTGGCCCCAGGTCTGACACTAGAAGCCCCCGGACTTGATTTACAACTTGGCTTTGTCTGGGTATCTCCAAGACCAGCATAAGAAGCAGCCATTTGTAGATCACTTTGTAGCTTATGCTTGGTGGTCCCAGGTAGAATGCAGGCAGAGTTTGGCCTTGCTCCAGAGCTAGCACACCCAGTGAACAGCTTCAGACCATGTCAAAGCACCACCACCCAACCATCTCCACAAGCAACACACTCAATGACTGGATTCAGTAGGTACCAGAGCCCTGCTGAAGAAAGTCTTGTTCTGTGTGGTGGGCCCTGCACAGCTGATCCTCCAAGTTAGTCAGAGGTCAGTGGTCAGTGAATACACCCAGGCCTTGCAGCTGATCAGCCTGGGTAAATTCCTCACATTGATGTGCCAACAGCAATCAAGACTCAACTACAACAGAAGGGTGTACAATCCACACTAAGGGTGCACCTTGAGGACCCAGCTGGGGTGACCAGAGGTCTGTGCCACTGGACCCTACAGAATACCTACTATGATACAGCACCCTACGAGAAATAACTATTCTACCTAATACATGGAAACACACATAGGAAGGCAGCCAAAATGAGGAGACAATGAAACATTTCCCAAATCAAAGAACACAACAAAACTCCAGGAAAAGAAATCAACAAAATTGACATAAACAATCTAACTAATGCAGAGTTCAAGATGCTCCAGGACCTTAGTGAGGACCTCAAGAGTATAAAAAAGGACCAGTCAGGAATGAAGGATGCACTAACTGAAATAAAAAAATAATTTACAGGGCCCTGACCAGTTTGGCTCAGTGATTAGAGTGTTGGCCTGCAGTCCAGAGAGACCTGGGATCAGTTCCTGCTAAGGGCGTGTACCTCGGTTGCAGTTTGTCCCCAGCCCTGGTTGGTCACGTAGGTGGCAGCAACTTTATGTGTCCCTTTCGCATCAATCTCTCTCTCTCTCTCTCTC